AGGTAGGTAGGTAGGTAGGTAGGTAGGTAGGTAGGTAGGTAGGTAGGCAGGTAGGTAGGCAGGTAGGCAAGTCGGCAGGTAGGCAGGTAGGCAGGTAGGCAGGTAGGCAGGTAGGCAGTAGGCAGGTAGGCAGGTAGGTAGGCAGGCAGGCAGGTAGGCAGGCAGGCAGGTAGAGGCAGGTAGAGGCAGGTCGAGGCAGGTGGAGGCAGGCAGAGGCAGGTAGAGGCAGGTAGAGGCAGGTAGGCAGGTAGGTAGGCAGGTAGGTAGGCAGGTAGGCAAGTAATGTACTTATGTATGTGTGTGTGTGCACATTTGTGCTGCCTGCTTCTATAAGTAGGTGTGAAGGTGTGGATGTTTGTTCTGTCAGTACAGACGCTTGTGCTCACAACGCCATGAAGGCCTCCGTTGGACTCTAACCTTATGAAGTATGAAGGCCCCTCGCCTTGACTGTGTACGCACCGCCCATGTGTGCGGGCACGTTAGGCGGCCATGCTGGCTGTGCTGGTCTTTGAGAGCAGCTCGCGTGTAATGTCTCGCTCCCAGCATTTTACACAATCGTGGCATGTTCCACCTCTCCAGCCAAGTCTCGTCCTGCAGTTCCGCCGGCTTGTCCTTCAGATTCAGCCAAACGAGGAAGAAGGCATTCTGAAGGCCCTTTTCGCTGTACGCTTCTTTAAGATCTGGTGGGAGACTTGTACGAAAGTCTTTCCAGGTCCAATTGTATAGTTGCCTGGCTTTGTCGATCTTGTACGAGAGCATGTTCTCCAAGGCGCGTTTGCTCTGAAACTCCTCTTCCGTCGTGAGGTTCCGGTGCAGAAGGCTTGGCATTTCACGTGCTGCCGCCCTCTCGGCCTTCTTAATATTCGAGCCAACGCCGTTTAGCGGAATGAGCCCTGGCAGATGATATGATGCCCGGGTCCAAAGCTTTGGCCTGGGTTTTGCAAGAATCTTCTCATGGGCTGCTTGCAATTTCATCAGGACTCTTTGCTGCTTGCTCTGGCGTTTGTGGGGCTGAACTTTCTTTCCCTTTACCTTGTTCTTCGTCTTGCCAGATTTTGCCACCCGCTGTGTGGATCGCCTGGTGCCACGACGCTTGGCCGCCTTCCACGGACGTTGCCTTGTTTGAGAGATGAGTTCACTTTTGACCTTGAGGTTGTCATTCCGAAAGAGTTTCTCAAAGGCCTCGTTGTCAAATAATTCCGCACCAGCTGCCGAAGCTCCTAGCGCACCCAGATTCCTGTAGCCTCTGGCCGGATAGCTGCCAGCAAAGTGCGGGCGCGCGAAGGAAAGCAAAGGTGTCTCGTGTGGCCAAGCACGAATAACAACGGCACCAAGCACACAGTGCAAAGCAAGTAGCTTCACCGAGGCTGGCTTGTATCCACCACGCCGCCCACATGAACCCATGAGCTCAGAATAGACCCATATAGACCCATAAAAGTCTACAGCAACTTCGTGAGTTGCCAGCGGCCTCTTCACCCTCCCAAGAACGAGAGAGCCGGACGGAGAATGTGGGGTTGCATCGGCAAGACAGGTATCCAACTGCGCACCCCAACAAAGCTGTCAGTTGGAATTGGATTCACCTAGACATTAGAACACACAACTCCCGCAAGATGCTGGTGAGAGTTAGTCTGCTGAGGGTGCTCCGCTGCCAGTGTACGTACAATCTGTGGGGAACCCCGGCTCTCCTCGAAACTCTTGCAAATCTGTGGCGCGCACTTCTGGGAGGCCGGCAATGCGCAGGATGCCTCAGGCAGGGGCCCTTCTACCAGTGACTCGCTCCGATTCAAATTGGGTTTTAAGAGCAGTTGTCGCTGAGCCCGCGGCCGTAGCCATCATTCTCCGACCACTGTCGGAAGTCACGAAACCTTAAAGGTATCGGGCGCAGAGGTCTTAGATTCCGAAGTGAGGGTGGAGGGCTCAGGGGCTTCCCGGATCAAGGCTTGGGCTTCGCCGTTTCGGGCCTGCGATCAGTTTTCCATATCTGATTGAGTCCGCTGCGTTTGCTGTTGGTGTTGTTGTGTATGTAGGTAAGCACTGAACCCACTGATACAAACATGTTATGGGCGACCCACCGCCCCGACAAGCGAAACATGTCTATAGATGCATGTTTGGATTGACCCCCGGATAAGCGAAGCAGGCTGGAAGACCAAAGCACAGCGGAAAGGTTATAGCATCTGACCGATTAATCAAACATGATACTGCTGCATGTAGATAGGACAAGAGGTGTTGTTCTGGCACGGTGCAGTGTGTCCTTGCGCGTGCGTGCGCGGTCGGTAGTGTGTGTGTGTGTGTGAATGAAACTTGAACCCTTGAAGCACACGAACTCGGCATCCGACTCGTCGTCTTTGCAGAGGGCAGCCTCGCCAAGCACAGGTGCTTTCAACTGTAACTGTTGCTGGTCAGCCACAGCCATTGGTTCACCACCGCAACTTCGCCTGTGCTCGTGAAAACCTGAAAAAGGTCGACGGCTTATTTCTCGATACTGCCAATGACAGAAATGCTAATGCCATCAACAAAATAACGAAATACGTAGGTTTGCCAAAACGCGGCATTTCTATCCCGAGAATACCCGCGCACCTTCAACCACTCCCAACAGAACTTCACATCCTTCTCGTAGACCCTACATGCTCTTAGTCTTAGTCTTGAGGTTTCGCAATGTATAGGCCTTTAACCGTCCCCCTTGGCCCGTAACCCAGGAACCTCCACACAGCCGAGCAAGTGCTCGCAGGCCCTTGGGCCACCGGGGCGCAATGCCAGGGGCACATAGTCGGCATCCATGGTCTGGCAAAGTGTCAACGGCTAGAGGGTTGGGGCTGCAATGCCTTAATAATTTCACTAGGGTTTTGGGGGTGATCCGTTTTTTATGTATAGTACAATGGAAGAGTCTGGAATGAGGGCTATGGTGCTGACTCTCTTGGTTGTTATGTGGGTCGTTCTCTAAATTAGGGTGCATTTGGGGTCCCGTTTATAAGGGTGCCGTACTACATTGGGGATCCAAACAGGGACCCTAATTTGGAGAACTACAAATGTGACAATGTGTGTTCTTTAAGGAAGTTGACGCATTGCGCTTGGAGTCCTGCACCATCGGCCGGCTTACTTTCTGCATGTGCTTCACAGACCGCAGTCTCAGCAAGCGGGGTTGAGGCTTGCCAACAACACCGTTTAGAGTTTTTATCTGCAGATGAGAAAAATTTTTAAAACAAGACGACAAAGAAAACATGCCCTAGACCCTTTTTTTACACAGGCTTGATTGGAGCTCGCCCGGCCAATGTCCCTCGTAGCACGTCGCACTCGTGGCGAGATGCCCAAGACCCTAAACCTAGAACAGCCAGCACCAGAAAATGGAAGCCCGAACACTGAAACTGCAAAGTTGGAGACGGACCTACGGAGGGGTTGCCTCGAATTCAAACTGGCGCTGCTTACGTCTCCCTGGACAATCCAGCAGCGTCTCCACTGCAACCTGAGCTGACTGACGGTTCCACGGGTTCAAACCATAATCCTTCCGGGATGACAGGAGAATCTACCCTGCAAGAGCCCTTGTCTAGTAATTGAAGCCCTATAGCAGAACATAGTGACGGCCTACAGTCACATTCTCCACGACGCTACGAAGTTCTTGTCCCCGACTGCGCTCTACTACAGTGGCCGAATAATGACAAATACTAGTTTGGTGTTCCTCAGAGTACTACACCTAGAGTCCCAAAACCCAACACCCTATTCTAATTGTTAACGCCTCTTTATTCGGCTGGCCGGGACTGGGGAGTCGGGCCAAGAGGTCGTCCGGCGACTCGAAGATCTCGAGGTAGTCGGCCTCTCCGGGGCATGTGCTAGGAGGGCTTCGGCTTTGCGGGGACTTCGGTCTGAGGATACAGGATACAGTCTCGCCTGTGCTGTGTCCTTCTTGGCTAAGGACTGTATATGGCACCTTTGCAACACATTCGGCACAGTGTCGGGGGTGAACAACGTGCTGTTTGTCAGGCATGAGACTAGGAATGTCCAGGGCAAACTAGACTTGGATTTCCTGTTGGATCAGCCGCAGAAGCCCGGGTGCCCTGACAGCACAACAACCATACAAAAGTTTCAGACGGACAAGTGCATTGATTGACATGCTGTGATTCGCGACATGTACCCGTGTACAAAATATATGCACTGCCCTTCTTCCTATTCATGTGACAGCTTCCATGTTGTTACGCAGCATCAGATCTGAAAGTCTCTTCCCCGCATGAAACCCTTAGCACCGGTGCAGCCTTCTTGCGACTGTTCCCTTTGGGCACTTTGCTACAAGTACGAAGATAAGCTCATGCGTCTTTCGCTTAACCTCCACACAGGAACAGATTTCCGTCATCTGCATCATGCATGCCGTGGCCGTGGTGTCAACAGTCAACATGCGGGCGGAGTTTCATGGGTGTTGGCTTAGTCGCGGGTTTCGATTCCAGAATAATACGCCGTACAACATGTTCACCGTACATACAGGACCTCGATCTAAGACGCTTCCGCGCGAAATCTTCTCCATGTAAGGCAATGCTTGAATTCGAGGCTTCATGTGCAATAATTATACTTATACTCCTAGATGGGTCTTCACAAGGCTTCGCAATGACGAGCATACGGATGCATGGACTGTGTGTTGCTGGCATCGGCACGTGGGAGAATCAAACTGGGATCGCTGTTGCCCTGCTCCCCGGTTCCTGGACCTCAAAGCCCTGAAAGATGTTTTTTCATTTCGAACTCGAATCTGCAAAAATCAGCTTTTCTCACTTCATGGAAATGGTGCAACAACTCCTACGTAGATGGTCTTCATGAAACTAACTGTTCAAAGTGTCAAGCACCAGGAGCAACTTTTGAGAACTATGAAAAATAGATGTGCAGAATGCATTGGCCTCTCGAAGCACTGCTTTCTTTGGAACATCAACCTTCGTTCCTCCCAATCTCCTGCCTTTCGAGTTGACACTCGTCAATAAATATGGACAAGAATCACACGAACGGCATTTAAAACAAGCCCCAACCCCCAAACCCATGAACCCTGTAGGCCTTTAACCCTTAAACTTGCACCCCTTGTCCCGGTAAAGGCCCTAACCGCTAATCAGTACTCCCCCTAACCCAGGGCTGAAACCCTAAACCCAAAAACCTGCACCCCTAAACCCCCAAACCCTAACCCCTAAACCCCAAACCCCCAAAAACCCTGAGTGCAGCTGATTATTGCTGGCCTCGTTCTCTGCTAAGACCATGCCATGAACGGCGAGGATCTCGGCCTTGCTGAATCTTTTGTAGGCTTTTGGGCTTAGGGCTTCTGGGGGTCTAAGGATCTTAGGGGGTTTAGGGCTTCAGGGTTTTAGGGGGCTTGTGGGGTTTTAGGGGGCTTAGCGGCTTTAGGGGTTTAGGTGTTTGAATTTTGGGGTTTAGGGTTTCAAGAAGTCTTTAAGGGTTTAGGGTTTAGAGGTTTAGTTTAAGGGTTTAAGGGTTTGGTGTTTAGGGTTTAGGGGTTTAAGGCTTAGGAGGTTTAGGGGTTAGGGTTTAGGGGGTTTACGGGGTTTAGGGGTTAGGGGTTCGGCTCTCACACTCGGACGATGCAAGCGAGGCTGCTGACGTACGGTCTGCAAGGTGAAACTACAGCGACAGAAAGCAAAGGCACAACACATTCCCACCAAGATAAGCCCTACTAATGAGTTGCCTGCTTTCAGCGCCCGGCATCCTGCATATACAAGAATGCCTACTTGCGGACATCCGGGCCTAATCATCTACATAGGATCACATAAAGGGCGCATCACATTGGAACAAAGAACAGTGATCCTCCGACTCAATAATCTAAATAAAGACCGAACGCATGCAGCTCTGCCTTTCTGTCAAGCGGGGAAGTTGCAGTCTCCACTACTTTACAAATTAGCGGAAACTTCTAATTTCAAATTCTACGGGCCACGCGCAAGTCATTCGCTGAATTCACTCTGAAGACGATACACCATGGAGAGGCCGCAAACATGCAAGCAGTAACGCGGGTCCATACCCAGTTCGACTGTCACCATTGAATTCTTTGGACACGCAAAGCTGCAAGGAACTAGATACCATCAACTCAGACGTGGCAGCAGGCACCGCCAACAGGCCACGAATATGATAGCTTTGCAGAAATCTCTCGAGATCGCACAGAGTCCGTACCTGCAAATTGATAACGCTATCTATTTCCTGCAGAATGGACTTCAGCCGCTGCCCAGGGTATCGACAGGACGCAAGAAAGGCAGAGACGGAGATCTGCTTGTAAAGTCCCGCGCATCCCGCAAGTCCATGTCTAACTCCTGTGCCCGATCCAGGCAGCACATGGCAGCACCATGTCAGATCAAGTTGTCAACGAGAGCGCTCGAAGTGCCCGAAGGCACACAAGAATCGGACTCCTCAACTGGACCAGCAAATGCAACGATCGCCAAGCAGCCAGCCCATGGCTCTCAAAGAAGGTATAGCCAGTCGCAAGCCATGAGAAGGCGCGAGCGAAGGCTAGTCGTTTTCTATACCCCTAAGGAAGGATAAAACATGATAAAGGACAGGCCGGCAGCGAACGAGAAGATCCCGTGGCTCCCACGACAGTTGAAAGAGCTGGCGACTCCCACGCGGGAGAAAATGACCCAGCTTCTGCCAAGGGAGCCATGAGTCGAATCCCCCACAGCCTCCAGCGCCGGCTTTCCCTCCAACTTGAGGTCGAAGAAGTACTTTTTGTCTGGATCTGCGGCGCTTGACTCAGCCTCTTCTGGCCGTGGAAGACCGGTCGGATAGAACAAACATCATTGAAGGCAGTGCAGTCGACGACCATGGCGCCTTTGCCAAGCCATAGTGTGCTGTGCTCATGCCCTTGTCCACCTCTGACGTATCGCGCTTCACATAAACGACTTGGGCACGACCTTCAAAGAAACGCTCAAGTCCTGTCTGTGCAAAAGCCGACATGGCTTGAGAGCAAACAAGTGCAGGAAGGCACAATGCTTGGGATGCTGCTTGAGCCAACATGGCTGCGTTTAGGGGTCAGGGTTAGGGGTTTGGGGGTTTAGGGGTTTCGGGCTTTGGTTTAAAATTAGGTGTCGGGGGTTTCGACTCTCACTCTCGCAGCTGGCAAGGCCACACATATGTCCGTCACGCATGTGAGGCACTGGGCTTAGGGGTTTAGGGTTTAGGGCCTTAGAGATGTAAGGGGCCTTGATTCAAACGCGTATTTGGGCATATTATGCTATGGGAGGAACCCTGAGGAATGAACATATTTCTCATTGTTAAGGCTCCTAGAGGAAGTAGATGGTTTCTGCGACAACTTGTGATAGCAAGCTTTATGGTCTAGGGTCCAGGGTTTTAGGGTTGAGTGACAGCAGACATGATAATCTCACATACTGTGAATATACTGCCAGTAGTAGTTGCTGTCAACATGGTTAAGTCTGTTTGGGGATGTGTTGTTTAGGTTGTCGCAATTGGTGCTTGTATCGGTATAGCAAGATACGATTCAGGGTTTAGTGGGGAAAGGTTCAAACGCAAGATCAACTTCAGTCCAGAAAGCAACGTGCGACACTGTGGTGGCTGCGGACGTCAAAGCACAAAGTTGTTTGGGGGCATCTAGTGCGAGACATCTGTCTGCAAAGCTTCTGGCGGCGAGTCGCTGGAAGGAGGCAGGAAAATTGACCTCTTCAGCCGTCGGACGAAGATGGGTGGGATTCTATTCGCCACCACGGCTTGCAATATTCTGACCTTTATCTGCTTGAACACGTACGCCAGGCTCTGCTCTTTCTTCGTCCAGACGACACAAGCTGGCCGTTCCGGAAGTGTAGGGAGCAGACGTGGCGATCTTGACGCAGCAAGGCTTGGCTGGAACAGTGTACGACTGGGCTTTACCCTGAAATCCTAGCGTCATATAAGGGTCTGCATACGCAATAGCATCCCCTTTACAACAGTTCCTACTGTGCAAAAAACCTACATTATTGCTATACTATCCATCCGTGCAGTCGGCAAACCATGGATGACCTGTACTTTAATGTCCAGAAAGCTGTGCTGCAGACTGATCCCCAGCTTCCCTTTCGGGAGTGCCCATGGTCGGGCAGGCGATTAAAATCCGAAGATCCGAGACGTGCGTGAGCGAAGGCTAAAGGTTCAAGTTTGGATGGGCGGTTGAGGTTAATGTGCCAAAAGCCTGACAGTCACCATCAAGAGAGGTAGAGAAACTCCTTCCAATATCTCTGTCAAGTAGCAGTCGGAGCCTCACATCGGTATGCACTCCAAGCACATCAAACACCGAGGATCAGCAATGCAGACACGATGTGTCGAAGGAGGCCCTTCAGCTGGAGACACGGAAACGTGACTTAGAAGGCCAGTGTAGTGTCGTTCACCTACGCGTGAAGAAACGGGGTAGACTCGATGCACCAGCCCCTGGTTCCCGTCTACAACTGGCTGCTCCCACGGTCAAGGGTTGCTGCTCGGACCTCATGGGATGACTTTTAAAATGTACTTGTCGCACGGCCCCCGCTTGCTTGCAGAAAGCTTCACAGTACCTTCTATGTGTGTTTGAGCGCATGAGGATACCAGTACGTGCACCGTCAGTGACATTTATGCCGCGTCCAAGTACGCACTTGGCAGGAACGGAACTAGGTACATAGACAGCTTGTCTGCAAGCATCGGGAGCTAGCCAAGCTCATTCAGCGATCTGTAGCTGTCTGCATGTATGATTGCAAAAATGTGTATATACACATGTCCACACACACATATCCATTTTTGGAGAGATAGTCAGGAGAGACTAACAGGCAAAGCGTATATGAAAAGAAATGATGGTCATACCAAAGGACTCCATCACAGCTAGCCGGTGGTGGGAGTCCTCATGTAATGTAGGGGCCTTGATAATTAGAATAGGGTTTTGGGGCCCATTATACTATAGTTATAATAAGGAACCCCCCAAAATAGTATAGGTAATTATTAAGGCCCCTACAGTAATTGCAGGGAAGTGACTGCAAGGAGGATTCAGATCTCTGGTCGGAGCTCAGGGTTTATGGGAAGGCAAGGTTTCGGAGGGCTTGGGCTGGGTGATGGGATGACGCCCATTATTTAAAGGAAAGTGGAGGTGGGGAGTTTAGGATATATAAGGCTTCCATAAGGTATATAGACCTTCTATAAGGTATAACGGTTACTACCCACCTGAAAAAATCCTGGATTTATTAAACGGCCAACTTGGCCACCGATCTTTTTGTCACTTACTTTCCATCCACCATTTTAGGATGTAGGGTGTTGGTGGCCTCGTGTGGCTGATATGATGCGGGCCTCCAATCCTCGATGGCTTGCGGCTGCGGAATTGGCCTCTTACTGCATGAGTCACTAACAGCTGTCACATTTTCTTGGGCGGCACCGCGGAAATTCAAGCCCCCATGAGCTTCCGGGGCTCAAGCTTAGCATCTAGTGCTTCCAGGCTTTGAAACTGGAGTAGGCATGACGGACATCGGGCCATTACAATCTTTAACAAGCAACAGGCTAGAAATATTCAGGTGCTAGGGTGGGATAAGGTTCAGGAAACTCGAAGCTCCTTTCCAGCAGTCATTCCCGTGCCTAGGCGAGATGTCAGGTACTCCTCTCACCAAGTAAGGGAACTAGACGTGATTCTGCCAGAGAGCCTCATGCAGTGGATTGAGAAAAGGATAAACCTAACTATCCCCCAAGTACACCCGATCTACTACCACATAGGCCCGAAGTCTTGGTTGCACACTGCTTTTCCCTGGCCTCTTGGACTTGAAAACTTTTGGCGGCCGACAGAAGCCTGACGCTAATGTGCCACTACGAACGAGAGACCACATTGCGACGTCACCTGTGCATCTGTCAGAAGTCCGCGAAGGAGCTCTGCTTGAAACAATCCTTTGAATTTGGTCTGTCGGCATCTTGTCGCCTGCTGAGACTGCCTGGAGTGGAGCGGTGAATCGTTTCTCAAGACCCCCAAACGGGGGTGACTGCTCTCGGAACAAAGGCGTAAGGATCACAGGTTGTGGTAAAGTCAGGGATGAGCGAGCCGTCCTCTCAGTCTCATATCAACTAGGCCACTAGGCTGCAAAGGTCTGCATCAAGCACGCGACCAGACTGGCCTTCGACTGTAGTAGGGAGAAACAGGTCTAGATCGACTAGAACCTTCTCAACTTACGCCCAAAGAGCGGAGTCTAAAGTCGCCCTGTAAGAGTAACAGCTTGGTGGCACGACACATCTCTCTCAACAAAAACAACCTGCAACCATTTGCCGTCAAGCAAATCACGATGCGACTCAACAGTGGCAACTAACCCCACAACTTCGCGGAAGCTTCAGATTCGAAAGCTGACTTCTGGCCATGAACCTACGAGACGATGAAAGCCGCGTGCCGAGCTGTGCTGAGCAAGCGCCGCGGGAGAAACGCAAGAGCAGCAGTACTAGTGTACCAGGTGCACCACCCAGGGTTTACGGTCCAAGCAATCTAACTTCGCCTACCAGTGGAATTCTGCATCAACTTTTGGACAAACATAATCAGTAAGACTGGTCTCAAGCATCAACGCGTTAGAGAGAGGAAAGATTGAGAGACACTGCATGGAAACTTCCCCTAAGAGACCTCAGTACTGTATGGGCATGTGCATCTTGCTCGAACAAGCCTAGCTTTTTTGCCTGGCGGCAACCTCGCAAAGTGGGTGAAGTTCGGATGAAGATGGATGAAGTATTGGTCAACAAGCCTGTCGACTGAGAAACCATGACGAATTCCATCCAAGCAATGGTTGAATAGCACCAACCATAGCGTCGCTCTTGCCCCTTCCTCCGTGCTCAGAAGAGGAACGATATGAACATGAAATTCCAAGCAACGTCTTGAGTGAGCCGTGTTAATTAATCATATTGACTACCGTCGCCCAGTCACCACACTAGGGACATTCTTTTCTGCTGGTGGCGTATTACTGGTCAGCCTCGCTACTAAAGCAGGCACTATGCACGCATTATGAGTTCACACCAACGGATCACCCGCGGCTTGCTCATATTAGCGACATACCCAATCTCCACCCACACTGTACAAACCCTAAACCCTAAACCCTAAACCCTAGAACCATAGCCCTGGAGCAAAATTACACACGAGGCCGAGCCAACGTCAAGGCGTGTTGGTGAACTGTATTGTCGCAAGCACCGCTGTGTCAGTGCGGGTTCCCAGAGCTAGGGGGCCCCGGATAGATCACCCTCCTCTCTAAGGCCCTTAAAAGACCGCTTAGATTCGCATCCGTGCATATTGAAGTATATTGAATATCGCGGTAGAGTATGGCACAGAAGATCGCCTGAGGGCAAGGTTTATTTGTTGCAATTCAGGACGTAAGTCCTAGTTATGGATGCCCAGTCGAAGCTTAGTATGTGCTGTTAGTTGCAGCCGGCATCTTATGATGTTGCGTAATTATGGGAAGATCGCCGTGGACCACGACTGACGAGTATTTCATGCGTAGTCTTATGAGGTTCTGAAGCAGCCTTGGATTGGGATGTATCGAAACAATTACTAAGATTGTGCGTTGGGCCTAAGTTAAGTTATAGATGTTAGTAACCCCCTTATAACCCCCTTATAACCCCCTTACATCTTGGTTATCCATGTAGTAAGTCCCTGCTAACTTTGGGGAAGTTATTAGAAAGTTGGTAGG